ACTCGATCCAGAGTCCTACCAACTGGCACAGTCAAAAATACGTAAAATTATAATTCAGTTAATAACAACTTGTTTTTGTTGTTTTTTGTGCTTTTTAAAATATTTGATAAGCAGAGTATGAATTAAAAAGTATCAAGTTGAAAATATTACTTTACCAGCTTGAATAATATATTGGTGTGATGTACGATTTTTTGAGAGTGCATTTTTGCCGACACAAATAGTATACAGTCCTGTACATTCAAACGAATTTTATTTTTTATGCCTTTACATTTTTTTTTAAATTACATAGATTTATATTGTTTTCTTTTCTTTGACTTAGTAATGCTTAAATCAAAATTATTTTAATAAACCAGTATCTTGCAATTAATTATCACGCAGCCGTTTTTCGAAACAACAGAATACTTACATTTTTGAAATTCAAAATATCTTTTGGGTATTTTATATTAGCAGAGACCTAGATACATTATTTATATTTCTGGTATTAGCAAGTTAGTATGATTTAACTGCCTGGTAAAATTTTCATTATTAAGAATCTAACGAAAATGGTAAGATCATGATCAGTTACCCAGGAATATGGTCTACCATTAAAACAAATCGTTAACCATATTAAATAGTAAACATATTTATTCATTTCACCATCCTTTTTATGTAATATCTTATTTAATTACACAAAATTTTGGCAATTTCAATCTGCCAATCTTAAAAGAGAAAGGTTTAAGATCTTTATATCCCTCTATTATTATACTTAATCGTATCGGCATTGTCCACCGTATCCCCCAATGACGTCATCCAAGGGCGACAACTTGAATACGGTCTTAAATGAAAGGGTCTATAAGACCTCTACCAAGACTGTTCAAATCCTGGCCCCAGGATCAATATAGGCCTCGTCCAGGAAGTCACTTTATTTTATATAGTTATATAAGCTATGAAGCCTAGAGCTTAGATATTTTGTATGTAGCATAGTCTAGTGGACCTCTACCAAGATTGTTCAAATCATGGCCCCAGAGTCATTATAGGCCCCACCCCATTGAGTCACTTGATTTTATTAAACTTATGTAAGAAAACTTAAAAAATCTTATTGTCAGAAACTATGAGGCCTAGAGCTCAGATATTTATTATGTAGCATAGTCTAGTAGACATCTACAAAGTTTGTTCAAGTCATGGTCCACGTGTCATTATTGCCCTGTCTGAGGGGTTACATGATTTTATATAAGAAAATTTAAATCTTGTCAGAAACTATAAAGCCTAGAGCTTTGATATTTGATATGTAGCATAGTCCTGTGGACCTCTACCAGGTTGTTTAAATCATGGTCATTGGTTCAAATTTGGCCCCACCCTTGCATTCACTTGATTTGCATAGACTTGTATGTGTACAGGGAAAGTTTATAAACTTCTTATGTGATACCGTAATACCTAGACCTTTAATAGAATTTCATCAAGGCTGTTCTAATAATTGTCCCAGGGTCAATATGGGCCCTGCGCATGTAAGTGATATAGGGCCACCATGGCCCTCTTGTTTGCTATATTGATAATTGAAGAGCTCTTGACTGCCTTTTCACCTTCATGCCTATATAACTAACATTAAACATAGTTATTTTCAATTCTGCAAGACTCAAGAGTGGAGTCTAGAACCTAAATGTTGAATTTAGAGTCTGTTTCATTTAAAACATTTAAGGAAGTCCTGGAGTAAAACATATTATGACAAACAAATGTAAAACCTGCCACAGGTAATTTTTGATTTGTTGGACAGTTAGAATGTATGTGTATCACACTGCATGATCTATCCCAGACACCAGAATGTAGGAAGAATGTGTCATCTGTTTTATGACATGTATGTCGGGTAGGCTGTCAATAAATATACCACACCCATATTTTTCAGAGTTTTGGCGAGGATGACGCTTTTTCAGTGTACATGTATGTACAGTTTTGATAAAAAAGTTTACCTGTACTGAGTTATGGCATTTTTTGCACTACCAGAATATATAGACGGCTATTGATAAATATCTGTCATACACACTAGTATTCTTTAGAAAATTCAGCAAAATTCAATTCTTTTTTAGTGTCAAAAAGTAAGATGGTTTAGTCTGTAATGTAAAATTGATGTAAAAATTATTAATTAAATGCATTTATTCATAGACTAAGAATAGATATTTGGGATACACATTTTCAGTTTTTTTTTTTAAATAATGCTAGACGTCTTAGTCTGACATGTACAATTTTGACAAATTTCAGCTCAAAAAGCTCTGTATTTTAACTTATTCACAGACACAATTACATTAAAGCCACAATAGCTCTCAGAAATGAAATATTCATTGGTTGAAGAAAAGCTATGAAATGTTGTGACCATGCTAAGTTTCCAAAAACTTTATTATAAGACAAATGTTCAATTCATATTGTTCAATTTTAAATAGAGAAATAATAAATAAACACAGAATTTATTATTTTGGCTGGAAGCAAAATTAGGTAACCCTTGTTTACATTTTGTGTGCCAAGTGATTCTATAATTAGAAATAGCATGTAGATAAACGGTATTGTAATCCTAGTTATATTATTACAATACAGTAATGATGAAAATCATGGGTTTTTCATACATATATTTAGTCTCACTTCATCGACAGAGTTGTAAATCAGGTTATGAATATAAACAATGTAAATAAAAACATTGGGAACATGACTATATTTTTTATACAATATGCGGTAGCATTTAACATTTATAAATGAACAATGACGTTAAAGTTACATTTACTTTTAGAGGTTACATTTTATTAAGATACTCAAAAATAAATATGTTTCTGAGAGCTAATGTGCTTTTAAGGCAGGAATTTATACAACCTACATAAATGTTATTTTTAGTGAATATGTTAAACTGTTAGAACATCATGTAAAATAGCATTGGGTCTGAGAAGAAAGCCAGTAATATTCGAAGTAGAAATCGTCCTTACATAATGTGTGACTGTCATACTTTTTGTGTTGATGCATTGTTGATTTCTTAAATTTCTTATGATTAAGGTATGTAAATATGTGACCTATGACGCACACCCTGCGAGTCAAAATTTATCTTCATCGATATCTTTTTAAATTTTGGATCTTTTTTTTTTAATATCATTCACCATAAAATGCACATGTGTCCGCTGTCCAAAAAAGCTATTGCTTGTCTAGTTTGCCCTTGTATTTTCAGAGAAAATCTGCAAAAAATTGCATTTTTACTGGGAGATCAAATTTTTTGCTGCGATTTTCTATGAAAATACCAGGCCAAACTAGACAAGTTATAGCTTTCTGGACAGCAGACCACTATGCACATTTTATGGTGTATAGTATTTCAAAAATAATCTGGTGTATAATATTTCAAAAATAATCTAGTATTTAAAAAGATATTTTTTAAAATAAATTCAGCTTACCAGGTGCGCCTCATAGGTCACATGTTAACATACACGAAGATGCTTTGTTGAGATTTTACCTTTTGGAAAAATGATAAGGCTGAATAAGGAATTTTCCATGGAACCTCTGTAGCTGAATTGGTTAGAGCGACCAGTAAGCGAGCAATTATGCCTTGTCTGGGATGTCCAGGTTCGAGTCCTGGCAGAGGTTTAAAATTATACTAGTTTTTCCAGGGTATTCATTTAGTCATAAAAAAATCAGAATTTAATTTTGAAATTGAAAATATTTTCATTGAATTTTATTAGAAATTAGAGGGCGACAATGTGTCTTCACAAAACTTTCTGGTCTGTTATTTAATTTATCAATTTACTTGACAACTTGTCTACACTATCAGGAGCTGTATGTCCAAATGCTATTTCATTGTTTTAAGACAATGATGCACAATATCAGCTGTGATGTAAAAGGTACAAGTATATAAGAATTCCAAAGGCAGAAGAACAAACATGATTACAGCATGCATCTATAAACCAGTACCTCACTTACATATTAAAGTTGAATGATACAAGTGTTTGCAAAACAGAAAAATGTCCAATAATTTTCCTCAACAGTAGCTGTGAATTTAGGTGAAAATTGTTAAAGAAATTTAAATATTGAAGCAACTGAGATACAGGTGTTAGTAATAGTTATAATATATGTTACTATACATTTATATATTTCCTCCAATAGGGCTGTTACAATTATTTTAGCTACGTCATGTCAAAACCAGTAACATGCATCTGCAGTTTTACAAGGATCCATGCTGTTTGCATATAGCTTGTGCATAATTTGTTAAATCTGAATGTGATCAGTGAATCAATGTAGAGTCCACTGGTTTATGCTTCATGCCAAATATCTAAGCTCTTGGTCTTGTCTGTTTCTTGAGAAGAAGACTTTGAGATTTTCCCTATATAATTCTGTGTAAACTGGTGACCCCAGGGCGGGGCCAATTTTGATCCCAGGTCATGATTTGAACAACTTTGCTAGAAATCCACAAGACAATGCTACATGCCAAATATCTAAGCTCTCGGCTATCTGGTTCTTATGAAAATGTAAAACTGGTGACCCCGGGTCAATTTTGACCCCATGGTCATAACTTGAATAATTTACGTATATATCCACAGTCACCAGACAATGCTACATGCCAAATATCTAAGCTCTAGGCCTTCTGGTTCTTGACAAGAAGATTTTTGAAGAATTTCCCTATATAACTCTATGTAAAATTAGTGACCCCCAGGGCAGGGCCAATTTTGACCCCAGGGTCATGATATGAACAATTTTGGTAAAGGTCTACTAGACAATGCTACACACCAAATATCTAAGCTCTAGGTCTTCTGGTTCTTGAGAAATTTTTTGAAGACTTCCATTTTAGTTGCCATGGCAACCAGAATTCTGCATGAAATGTTATTCTTTGAACAATTTTGGCAGAGGACCACCCAAGGAACATTTGAAAATTGGACCAGTGGTTAAAGAAGAGATGTCATTTAAGTAAATTGTTGACGGACGCCAAAAGGTGAGTGATCACAAAAGCTCACCTTGTCACTACGTGACAGGTGAGCTAAAAATAACAGATAATGAAACAACTGTATGCATACAATTTATTCAATAATTTCATTGGCAATCAAAATACATTGAAGAATAAGACAATATATTAAAAAAATGTTACTGTATATATAACTTACAATATAGCATGTATGTGGCCATCATTTATATTACTATATCAATTTCATTATTATTGTAAAGAAGTTAAAGTACATATTAAAATACATATTATCCGTCAAAGCCATTGCTAAACAAAACAGAGTTACCAATCACCCCTGTCTGGGATATTTTTTAGATGATACACAAATCATAATATATGAAGTTTGAGGTATGGATCTGTATTTTAGATGTAGACACAGGGCAATGAGTGGAGCAGACACAAAACAAAGTGGCAACAGACCACATTAACATTTAACCTCTTGAGTGTGACCTTGACTTTGAAGGTAGGGACCTGGTTGTTGTGCATAAGACATTGTCTCGTTTTGGTGAAATTTGTGACAAGCTTTTTTAAAATCTCTTGTTGAATGTTAAAAGCTAGTATAGATCAGACACAAACCAGATCCTGTAACAGCCTAACCTTTCATCTGTGTGACCCTGACTTTGAAGGTATGGATCTGGTTGTTGTGCATGACAGGTAGTCGCCTTCTGTTAAATTTTTTTTCAAAATCTCATGAATGATGGCAGAGTTATGTAGAAGGACGGACAAATGAGACCCATAACCCATGTCCCCCTTGCATCATAATACAATTCTTTCACAAGAGCGTTGATAGTAACCAAGATTATTTGACTTTTTAAGTTTTCAAGTCAAAGGCTTTGACAGTAACATATACAATCTAAATGCTGCTCCACGGGGGAATATAAATGATTTAACAAGAGGACCCAGGGGGTCCTTAATCTCTCAACTGAGCCTGGGTATCAATAGCACACATGAGTCAAAATTCATCAATGTCTTGATTTCATTAATGTAGCTCAACATATGTAAAAAGTAGTTCACCATGTCAAAATCTAGGTCATCATTCCATTTTGCATTCAAAACTGTACATGTGATCAAAGTTTCAAGACTGTAGCTCAACTTACAAACCAGATAAAAATTCTCACAAACATTGTGAAAATTATGCTAAAATGTGATTTCTAGAATGCTGACAAGCTTTTTCTATTACTTGACCCAGTGACCTATTTCTGACTCAATCAGGGTTCGTACAGACATCCAATGCCAAAATTCAAGGACTTTTTAAGCACTATTTAAGCACATTTTCCCATTTTTCAAGCACATTTGTTGCACATACACCGACACAATCTTTAACCTATGATAAGATAGTTTGATCACCATTTTTTGTTAAATATATATTTTCTAACATTATAGAAGAACAACTAAGGGTGCATCAAGTACAGATTAGTTCAAAACAACTGCAATTTGTCCACTTACTGTTACCTTGAGTAAACATTTCATTGATTTTGATACTAAATTGGATCTTTTTTTTTTATTTTGTTAGCCGTTGATTATTATCAAAACTATGTCATTCTGTGATTCAAACATTTTCAAGCACATTTTTAGCAAATTTAAGCACTTTATAAGCACTTTTCAAAAGAGTAATCAAATTCAAGGACTTTTAAGCACTGTTTTACATTTTTAAGCACTTTTTAAGAAAGAGACTCAAATTTAAGCACTTTTTAAGACTGTACGAACCCTGTCAAAATTGACCAAGTTTCATACTTGACCTGGAGGTCATCAATATGAAAATTGTCACCAATATTCATTAAGATTAGGCCTAAAATGTGGCCTCTAGAGTTATGACAAGTTTTTTTCTCTTATTTGTCCCAGTTACCTAATTTTTAGACCAATCAAATTTTTTTTGTGGTAAACATTTAACAATGGATGCTTCTGTTGTAGTTTGGGAGCATTCCAAATGTTACTCAGGAAAAATGTTGTTTAAAGATATTCCTTTCATTTGACCTATATGTAGGTTTGGACCAATAAAATTTTTATAAACAACTCTGCTAGTCTGAGATGCTGTTTAAACATTTTTATTTAATTTGATCTTGTGACCTAGTTTTAGGGCTAAACCAATTTCATTGAAAAATTTTGGGTACAATGCTTCTAGTGAAGTTTGGCAACATTCCACCAACTCCTATGGCAGGAGATGTTGTTTAAAGCATTTTCTATCATTGACAACTGACCTAGTTGTTTGATCAAATTTCTTTGAACAAATTTGGTAGACACAGACCCAAGGATGCTTGAGATGAAGTTTCGTAACATTCCAGATCCTATTATGGAAAGAGATGTTGTTAAAATAAATTCCTTTAGCTTGACAAACTGACCTAGATTTTAGACCAATCAAATTTCTTTGCACAACTTTAGTAGACATCAACCTAAAGATGCTTCTGATGAAGTTTGGTAACATTCCAGGCAATAGTATGAGAGAAGTCACTTAAAGGATAGCCTTTAATATGACCTACTGATCTAATTTTGGGACAAATCAAAATTGATCAACTTTTGCAGGTGAATGCCAGGAAGGCTCTGACCAAGTTTGATCAAATTTTGACTGATGGCTTGGGAGGAGATATCATTTGAAGCAATGGTACAGATGTGTGCATCAACGACGGACATTGTGAGGTCCCAAAATGTCACCATGTCACTTTGTGATTAGTGAGCTAAAATTGTGATCACTAGAGTCATAACAAAATTCTTCCAAGATATAACCGGATTACCTACATTTGTAGTTTTTGACCCTTAGTATGTGACCCTATCATTCACTTTTTGCGAGCTGAAATCAATGTTTTTTGCCAGGATCTTATACCTATCCAACCTGGATCATTTTTTTTACATGGCGCCTTCACTGCCGTTTGAAGTGATTTCACATCAATCTGGTTGTGCAGACCCGACCTATCCATGCTATCTAGCACACCTGTTCCAAACAGTTTGTAATTTAGTGTCAACCAAATAGCAACTATTGCCTCTGGAGTTATAGCATCAAAAGCGAACAGACTCACATCGCCTCCCTGTAGGAAAACATCTTCTTTTGAATCATACATTGTGACAGTAAATGTTTTCTTTCCAACAGCTATTGAAGGTATTAGTGTAACATCAGGATTTTCCTTATTTTTAAGAAATGAGAACGTGATTGTTTCTGCGAAAATCTGACAAAGATCATTCGCTGTAAACAGATCATTTTTTTTTACTTCAATTGCAATCAAGGATTCCTTTTCAGACAATGATGAGATGGATGACGCTACAGACGATGATGATGATACACGTGGTAAATCTCCCCCTTCCTCTCTATGAATCTCGCAGACATTTATAATTGGTAAATCAGCCATTATGATGTCTGTTCTACCATGCCAGCCACTTTCCCAACCTGAAAGAGTTTAAAATTTTCTTTTTCATTCAATGAAAATACATAAGATCAAAATGCCACTTACCAACTTGCATAGTTTTTTTTTTTGTAGAAATTTTAAACATACATTAGTCTTTAAGTTGCTTTACTGTAGACACATTGTATATAAATATATTCATACATGTACATCTGTAAGTCTAACTTGACAACTGTCACAGTTTTTCATTACACTTTTAAAACTGTAACATGATGCTAACTTTTTAGAAGATGCACCAAATTATGTTTCTTCATAGACAGCCTGGATAGATGAAACGGTTAGAGCGTGAGACTTGTCATGTTGTTTCTGCGGGTTAGATTCCCAGGGCTGGACAACTAAAGTTACTACAATCTTTCGGATGAGACTTTAAACCAAGGTCCACTGTATGAGTGCTTTAAATTTCACCTGGCACGCAAAAGAACCAGGAGAAGTTTCTGGAATTGGGATGTTTTTCTGTATCTTGCAGTAGATTAGTAATTTTAGATTTCAAATGCAATACCCCCTCTAGGCCAAATAGCTTCTGACAAGAAGATTATTACAGTTTTTCCTAAATAAGTCTATGTAAAATCAAGTGACCCCCAGGCAAGGCCAATATTGACCCTGGGGCCATTATTTGAACAATCTTGGTAGAGGTCGACTAGAGAATGCTACACATGCTTAACTGTGAAAATTTTAGCCCCACCTTTTCTATTCATGGCTAGGTCAACGGACTTTTCCAGTATTTTAAACAGTTACAAATTGACTGACTGGCCATCCAATTGCTATACTGAGGAAATGGTTGACCTAGTTTACATAAAAGAACATGTGCTTTTGTTTGTGATACTGTTTGTGAGCAGTTGACCTACAGTAGCCCTGAATAGAAAAGATGGGGCTTGAATATTTTCATGCAAAAAGTAGAAAGGTCCACTGCTCACAAACAGTATCACAAAGAAAACCATGTGCTCTATTGTGTAAACCAGGTCAAGCAGTAGCCACATATTATCCCGGATTAGTGGTTGGATCATAGGCAGTCAGGCAATTTAAATATTTCTGTAAACACTGAAAAGGTCCATTTGGCACATCCCTGCACACTTGCATACAAAATATGATTTAAATTGATGAAGCCTTTAAAAGGTATAGAGCAGAAACCTATTTTCCAGAATGATGGAAGGATGTAACTATCCAGTCACCGACAGACGGACAGGGGTAACACTAAATGACCCTTCACTATTCTTTGAATGGGAGGGGCATAACAAACATTATTTTTCAAGCCTTAGACAGGTGGCAAACCAGGTGACTACTATAGGACACCAGACTATATCACAACAGTTGAGCTTAACTAGCTTACCAAAGCTTGTGTCTCCTTGCTGACCACACAAGTTGTCATGACCTACACAAGGACATCCCTCTGAAGTATCATATGCTGCACCAATATCATAGAGGTAGGAAGATGACGGAGCTAGTTTGCTGAATAAATGTTGTGCAAGAACCAAAGTCCATGGCCATTCTTTAGAGGTTTTTGAAATTTCTTTAAGGGCTTTGTATTCTGAAAAAAAAAGAGCACATTACAACAATAGGAAAGAAGCCAGAGGCATCGCATAATATAATTTTATTCAACTCGTGCAATAAATTCAGTATTGAACTTACACTCATTCAATATCCTCTATATCTTACTTTTGGAATGATATATTACATGAGATTAGTATTTATTTGTTATATATGTAAACAAGAGCACCGCTAGGCGGAGCATTATATGCCCGAAAGTATTTTTTTTTTAGTAGGATGACCTTAACCGTTGACCTTTTGACCCCAAAATCAATAGGGGTCTTCTACCCAATATGGACAATCATCCTATGAAGTTTGAACATTGTGGGCCAAATGGAACTTAACATATGCTCCGGCAACTGTTTTCAGTATCAAGGTAATAGTGACCTTCACCTTTGACCTTGTGACCCCAAAATCAATAGGGGTCTTCTACCCAATATGGACAATCATCCTATGAAGTTTGAACATTGTGGGTCGAATGGAACTTAAGTTATGCTCTGGAAACTGTTTTCAGTTATAAGGTAATAGTGACCTTGACCTTTGACCCCAAAATCAATAGGGGTCTTCTACCCAATATGGACAATCATCCTATGTAGTTTGAACATTGTGGGCCAATTGGAACTTAAGTTATGCTCCGGAAACTGTTTTCAGTATCAAGGTCATAGTGACCTTGACCTTTGACCTTGTGACCCCAAAATCAATAGGGGTCTTCTTCCCAATATGGACAATCATCCTATGAAGTTTGAACATTGTGGGTCGAATGGAACTTAAGTTATGCTCTGGAAACTGTTTTCAGTTATAAGGTAATAGTGACCTTGACCTTTGACCCCAAAATCAATAGGGGTCTTCTACCCAATATGGACAATCATCCTATGTAGTTTGAACATTGTGGGCCAATTGGAACTTAAGTTATGCTCCGGAAACTGTTTTCAGTATCAAGGTCATAGTGACCTTGACCTTTGACCTTGTGACCCCAAAATCAATAGGGGTCTTCTTCCCAATATGGACAATCATCCTATGAAGTTTGAACATTGTGGGTCGAATGGAACTTAAGTTATGCTCTGGAAACTGTTTTCAGTTATAAGGTAATAGTGACCTTGACCTTTGGACCCCAAAATCAATAGGGGTCTTCTACCCAATATGGACAATCATCCTATGAAGTTTGAACATTGTGGGCCAATTGGAACTTAAGTTATGCTCCGGAAACTGTTTTCAGTATCAAGGTCATAGTGACCTTGACCTTTGACCTTGTGACCCCAAAATCAATAGGGGTCTTCTTCCCAATATGGACAATCATCCTATGAAGTTTGAACATTGTGGGTCGAATGGAACTTAAGTTATGCTCCGGAAACCGTTTTCAGTTTTAAGGTAATAGTGACCTTGACCTTTGACCTTTTGACCCCAAAATCAATAGGGGTCTTCTACCCACTATGGACAATCATCCTATGAAGTTTTAACATTGTGGGCCAAATGGAACTTAAGTTATGCTCCGGAAACCAAATTGCTAACGGACGGACGGACGGCCGTACGGACGGACGCCAGGGGGTATAACATAATATGCCCTTTCGGGCATATAAAAATGGCACTAAGCGGCCATCTTACCAATTCAATTAAATTAATACCAGATTGTTATTATCACATGATTACAAAATTATGAGTACATGGGTTGGTTATTTGTGAACCACAATATGTAAAAACAAACATTGTGCAATTTGCCATGAGCGTAACTGAAGATCTCTATATGTCTGCAAATATAGGATCCAAGCTGCTTCCTTATTATAAGTTTGAAACACCAATGTACCTAAATGGTAAAAGTCAAGATGTACCCACATACAAATGTTTCTAATCATTTTTTAATAGTATTATATGAACTTTTAAGTATAGTGAATAATTTGTGATGTATATAGGATTCTTTAAATATTTAATTAATGTATCCAAATAAGAGTAGTTGAGATGTATCTAGTAAAACTGTGCTTTAGTCAAGATTTAACCATAAAATTAATAAACAAACTCTTTTTCTATCAATCTGCGAAGTCTAAATTGAAATAGAGCCCTCTTTGTACTCAAATATTAAAAAAATATTGGTTGTAGAAGCGGAGGTCAAGTAAAGTGCGCCATTTGTAATTTGAAGTGACAGATAAATGAAACAAAGAAATAGTATTATACGATTGGTCAATAGTATTCCGGTAATTATCTTAACCAATCAAATCCTTATATAATATTCAGAGCGGAACAGTATACATGCAGATAAAATACTGCCACAAGCGAGATCCTTGTGCATTTTTTAATGAAATACGTACGAAGAGGGCATTTGATCAGTGAAGACTTCGCAGATCGATAGGAAAAGAGTTTGTTTATGGAACGTACGTGGAAATTCTAGCCGTTTTTTTGTTTTTTTCCGTAAAAATCGATCAGAAATCGTGTTTGTATACATGAATGGACTGGACGTCGAAAACGACATGAATTGAAAATAATGGCATTTTGCGAAACTTTTCCCAATTTCTTTGCTATTTGAGGGATTTTGATGAAATAAAAAGCGTTGGCACTTGGATTGATCCTTTCAGATGGCGACCAGAAAGAGATAACCGTGATCTGGTCGTTTATTGCAGCAGTGTTCTTGTTTGTTCTGCATGATGTTTTTGTTTCGTTGGGGGCCTTATATCTTTATATACATATATAGACCGATTATGTAAAATATTTGATTATGTGACTAGCGCCTGTGTGTTGGTCAAAATGTTACATTAAAACAAAAACCTAAAAATACATGGATTTTATAATTCATTGATTAAAATTCGTCTGATTGCATATCAAACTTATTCTCTGTTGATTTGATGCTTTAGCATCAAAACTTTTACTTGTTTCAATTGAACCCCTGCCTGGTAATCCGTCTGTGCCACTATCAGGTCTAGGATTTCATGATATTTATGGACTGTCTGTAAATTTATAGACAGTCTAGAAATTTAAAGATTTTTCAATCCATAAATTTAGATATTCAATGTGAAATTTGCTGTTTTTAGTTTTACAATAAAATCCGCAGCTTAAGACAAGTTGTTTTATTGATTGTTTATATTTACTAAGGTAATGGGCTAATTTTCATCTTTGTATGATGATTTTGAAATTTTTGTTAAATGTGAAAATTGAAAGTCATCAAACTGTTCTGAATCTTAACATACTGTTACATTTAATCATATAATACCTAACCTTATTCATTTTAACCTGCGGTTTTAAATTTTAATGCAACTTCTACTATTTTCTTACTTCATGTCTGTAAATTTACAGATAAGAAAATCTGTAAAATTATGGATCGTCCAAAAATTTACAGACTGTCCGTAAATATCATGAAATCTTAGACCTGACTATGCCAACACCCATGTGTCTGTGAGCTGAGCTACATGTCAGGAAAATGCTAAGTTGAAATTTCTTATAAGCCAATGATATCATTTTGCTTATAAAATATATAATAATATAATATAATAATACATGTAGATAATTACTTACCATTTTCCATGTTCTTAAAATACAAGAACAGTCGCTTGAAAGCAGCTTGGATCTCTTCGTTTTCAGGTATCTGAGGAGTATTTGGTTCTGAGTCAATAAATGCACTAAGTTTATCCACTCCTTTACGAAATACTATCCCGAATGTAAACATTTGGTCGACATCAGGCATTTCATCAGACTCTCTAAAATAAGCCTTCGTAAATGAACACGCATCTTCCAGGTTCGTCCGTTTTATTTTGCAACTTCTGAAAATGCAATGTTGTGCTCCACATTTTACAATATCTAACCCAAATTTAAGGCGACGTTTTGCATGAGAATCTGAAAGAAAGTTCTCAAAAACATCCGGCAATTCAACTTTTATCTTCTTCTTGACCGGCTCCCCTTCCGCCATGTCTTTAATATTACGCGCGTCACTGCGCATGTCTTAAATATCAAGGCTGTGACTAAAAAAAGGATTGGAGCACCACACTAAATACCGTATTCCGGTATATACCGGACAAGGCGCTTGAATGATAAAATGCTAAAATCTTGTCTTTTTACCCAACGGAATGAACTTTAACAGGTCTAATTCATCTTTTCACACCGAATCAAGTACGATAATCAAGGAAAAATGTAAAATTCGGCGAAAAAAACGATATTTGTCTATTTTGTGATCATGATTTCTGCAAGCGTCTAGAGGTACTGCTCCAATCCTGTATTGAGCTAAATCCAAATATCAATATCCGGAATATAATTCCGTACTAGCCGTACATCATACCGTACACTTTGTGTCAATAGCGCCATTGTATACACACCGGTCTCTCAAATATCGACCAGTAAGACCGGTGTACACAATGCAATAGCGGTTAAATCAAATAAGATTTGTTATATTTTTTTCATTTAAAATTCAATAATTTCAGGACCAGACAACTGTATGATATAGATTCTCATTCCGTGGTGGACCTTATTTTGAGAATAGATATATACTGGTTGACGTCCTATACTCGGACAATTTTTGCTTTTTTTTGCCAGTAATACATTTGTTGAAAAAAATCAAAAAAGAAAAAAGGGTATTGAAAGCCATGTAAAAATGAAGATCAACTCCCTGTGGTCGCATTTCAGAAAATAATCCGCGCAATAAAATCTTACTCTCGGTGTCGAGAGAATAACAGGATCCTCCCAGCAAACACATGACGTCAAAATAATGTCGGATGGACGTTGGATTTTGGTCATGACGGCGGCGACCCTATTCTTGCATATCGGACAGACATTTCCGCGGATTTCACCCGTTCCAGAAAAACCGGTCTGGCGTCCCCCCATGCCAGACGAGTTACGTGACGTCATTGGATACATGACGTTTCGTTTTACTATGTCATCAACATGAATGGAATAGTAAATTCATACTCTCCTATTACGTTTAGTAATGTTAGCGTTTGAGTGGAAAATCAATAAATGAAAATTTATTTTGATACGATATGCAAGAAAACATTTCTATCATTTTTTTGAGATCCAGATGGGGAAATTCATCCCTCGGATACCTGCCTATGGGCGGTGAATCGGCAAGCCTCGTCACCACCCTTTGGGCAGGTACCCACGGGACGGATTTCCCTATCCGGAACTCAAATACATGACAGAAATTATTATTCCAACGTCTATTCGACGACAAAATACCAACGTCTATTAGACATTCTGTTTTGACGTCGTGTTTTGGTCGGTAATCTGATCTCATAAAAAGAGAGGCCAAGAAGATTTTGTTTATTTGATTCGCGGCATACGCTCCCTAATTTCGTGTCCACATTTAGTAAAATTATAACATTTATCCTCCCATGAGTAACGTACGTAGCGCTTTTGTTAAAAAAAAAACGTTCAAGTAAATTGAATTAATTTAAATTAAAAGATTCATATACTCTGAGTTGAAAGTCCAGATCTTTGTTAATAAGAGGTTAATACACGGCAGGAGAGGGCCGGAAGGTGATAATCGGCCCGCAAAATGAATAATGGACCCGAGGGCTTTAGCCCGAGGGCCATTATTTATTCAGGGCCGATTATCACCTTCCGGCCCTACTCTGACGTGTATTAATGTCTTTAATACACTTGGTAGATCTAATAGTAGCATTTAAAAAAACAAAAAAAAAACAACAACAACAACAACAAAGTTCTTTCGTTGAAATTCTTGTCTACTCTTCTACTGTTCTGTACAGAGATGTTTACTGTTTGTGTGTTCAAAGCAGTAGAATCTAGAAGCAAGTTTTATTTTCTTTTTTTTTTTTCGGAATGAATTTGTCGTATTATTTCTTCAAATTTCAATAGTAACAAAAATGTGTTTGTACTAAATACGCTTAAGCTCTCATAATAAAAATAAAGCGATTCGTGCTGACAACCTACGTTAACTGTTTGATGACGTAAAATATGACGTCATTGTTTCAGTTTGTGCACGTGCACATGTTCTAAGGGCTGATAACTAGTTCTCGGCCCCGGGCCGCAAACTCATAATAGGTCACGTGACACTCATAATCAATTGAAATCATAGGCAATTTTGTTACTATATATAGTAACAAGTGTATTAACATGACAATATAATTATATAAGGATCTTATTGTATATAAATAATTTAACAGAATGCCAAAAAATATTAACCTAATTTTCTGTAATTTCCTAGATGTTCCTATCTTTAAAGTTAATGTTTTCAAAACTAAATTTTATTCACATAAAATAGAGTATTATTAAAGATACATATGATTTTTACTGTTAATAATTAAAAAAACAAAGAAAATTCTCATTTGAATTCCTAAATACTTGTAAAAATGACAAAACTAATTAGCTCCTATTTAGCTGTCAAGCGAACCTATATACTTATCAAGATTGTCTCCCTTGGTCTTAGGATGATATTTTTAAGTTATTGATTAAAATAAATGAACGATGATAAAACCTTGAATTACAATAAATGGCATAATTTTTACATAGGACAGCATAATCATATGGACAGATTCCTAACTTTACCACAAATGAAATAAGATTTATTCTTATTGAAATTTAATTGTCATTATGCTCAATATTTCACTGTCAAGTTGACCTTAATTAGCTATAAATTTCAAAAGATTGACTGATTATGATATAATGGTGATTGACCAATAATTGATACTGGATAATGCTAAGGATAAAATACATAATCTGCCTTAATGTAAAAAGAATCCTCCACTCTTTTTATAGATTGAATGTTACAGACACATTTTGGTTATTTTATAGAAATTTCCTCTTGTCATGTTAACTATTAATCAGTCAGGCTTAATTAGTTATAAAATGAAAAGGAATTATAGCAAAATGTAAAACTTACTTTCATTTAATCCTTTTCACTCACTATATACCATTGGATAAGCATAATGCAACTTTAAGTAATAATTACTTTTCTTATATATTAGTATTATGATAGAAATATATCAGTATAAATGAACTTAACACAAAAATTCATAACTGGTAGGGATGTAGCCTTTTGTAGACCACTGATTTACATTAAACACTTCACTTATTTCAAGTTAAATAGGATTTCGCTAAAAAGTTCATATCCTTTACAAATGGCTTGTTTTCCATTTTTATTATTGCACAAGTACATGTATGTACGTAATGGATGTGACCAAATAGAACATATGTTAGTGATTGGACATTTCATGAAGAATAATCTATGTCTACACTGGTTATTAACAAGGTATCATTATCATCAATGTTTCACACCAAATTATGCAAAAAAATAGTGTGCTTGGCTGCTTACTCATATGGTACAGCTTCTAAATACTCAAATACATTCTCACAAATAGAAATGTAATGTAAGTGAATGTACTGTATAAAAACCAATAATTTCTGGTGAGCGATTCAGGGCCATTATGGACCTCTTGTTTTCAATTATATGATATATTCAAATGAATTGGAATATCAAGGTAGTTTTGTTATAATATCTAATAATTTCAATATACCGAGAATGATATTTTATCTTGTGTTTTGTGTAGTATGTAGTAGTCATAGTACTTGTGCAGTGCCAACTGAACTATAGTTGAAGCAATTTGTGTGCTTGTATGCAGTATAAGGTGTCACCAACTTGCTAGATATGCCTACGTTGAAAACAAAAGAAAAGGTGAAATGAGAAGTAAATAAGAAAATAACACAACACAGTAAAAATATTCTTCATATAGAAATAATGGTTGCGAATCGAACCTGCCTTGCATTGATATTCAACTAAAAATTTAACTGACAGTCTTACCTTCTGCGTTAAGTGGACAGTTTGTAAAATGTGTAGTTTTTTTTTATTTATATCGTTAAAAGATGTTAAATACAATATGATAACCGTTTTACACCTTTATATTTGACTTGACCACTGCGTCACTAAATAATGATATTAAACGTACTCAACACTTTTACCTATGTCTCTGATATAAATAATAAACACAAAAAAATATTGTTTGAAAATTTTCGTAATATTTTCGGGAAATCACTGACCCGTGAATTGCGTAGCTTATCTACACAAACGTTATTTGACTACAAACCTGTTTTAAATAACATTGAAACAGAAAAGGCCCTATATCAGAAATGATGAAGGGGGTTTATAATTTATTATCTCTCATGAATAGAATCAAAAGAAAAAAAGAGACTGCAAGTTTCAACTATATATATATTTGCTTTGGAATATTGCTCTTGAGGGATCTCTTCTTTCCCAGAATACAACAAACATTCAAACATTGAAGAATCTGTGCAAAGAGGATAGAAATATATATAGAAGTCAACACAAAAATTAAACTTATTACGAGGTCGAAAAGCATAAATAACATTTCTGCAACATTAAAATTTTTGGCTGCCAGGCCGCTGGGCCGCCAGGCCGCCAACTTCACAAAAATGACAAAATAATGAAGTGTTCTCAAAGTGATTTTTCACTTTTTATATATCCTTTAAATAACAAGAATTGTCTTAAGAATTCATTTAATGTCGTTTTATTGTATAAATAACATTTCTACATTTCTAAATATGGTTTTTATTTCTTTTATGGTAAGATAGGTCTTTAAAAATTAATTAAAAGAAGCTTTAATTTCTTTGCCAAACTATTATTCTTTAAGTTCAGGCCGCTGGGCCGCTAGGCTGTCAACTTCACGCCGCCAGGCCGCCAACTTCACGCCGCTGGGCCGCCAGGCCGCCAACTTCACGCCGCTGGGCCGCTAGGCCGCCAACTTCACACATCTATCATTATCTCGTATTTGAAAGTTCATAAAAATGAAAAAAACTGGTTCTGAATTTTCCTCTTATTTTGATATTGCCTTTGCGGGTTCATGCTTTTCCGGAATCTTAAAGCCAATACTTAAGTCGATGCGTGGTTCGTATTTAAAATAAAAATTATCCAGTCCCACCCTGGACTTGAACTCTATACCTAATCTTTCCGCAGTTCACTGTCAAAGTTTTCGATCACTTACACAGTGTTCCCCTATCAAATGACCCGTGATACACCCATATGTCTGAATTGAACTTTGAGATAATGCCGTGGACATCAAAAGTTACAGGGTGAGGAAAGTACAGGCTGACCAGGACTCAAGCCCGTCCTATGCCCGCCCGACTGAGCTTTCTGGCCGCTAACACTTTTTCTCCACTAATTATTTAACAGTTCTATGTCAGTCGCCATTTATTCCATAATAAACACAAAGATAAATAATTATTGAATGAGCTGCTAAAAAAGAAACATTCCGTTATCAGTTATCTTTATCCTCGCGAAATAATTGTGATATGGGACAACGAGTGATAATCTATTGAATTGCAGAAATATTTATAGTTCACTCGGCCCCTTCCTGTATCTTTCGTCCAATCATCATCGAAAGATTTTCAAATTTTGCTCCACTTATCTGTATGCACAATATCTTTTAAGAAAAAATATTAAGTGACAATATGGCAGTTTCCAAATATGGAGAATTAAGCTCCGCCTACTGGAATGGTCGAATCCTATATAGCTCGAAAAAGAAAAAAACTTCAGACATTCATTAATTTTTAAACTTTACAAGTTTACATGTTTTTTGTTGTTGTTTTTCTTTAATATTTTTGTGTGTGTTCGTGTGACCTAGTAAAAATTGTGCAATTTCTTTATGTAAACAAAGGAATTAAGGAAAGTTGTAATGAATGGCTATAGAAAGGATGCTTTTAGCACAATATGCTCAATTTCTACAAACTGTCTGGTTTCAATAGCATGACTGCAAAACCGATTGATTTTTTACATACTGATATTACATAAATGTCTGTCTTTATAAAATGAATCTGCTGTATACAATAAAAAGCCAAAATATATTGGGCTTAAAATGACCAGCACGAATTAGCTAGATTATATGTTTGAAGTAATGCAGGAGCTGTTGAGTGTTCATGATCAGTAACAGCATCAATAAAATATTATCAATTTTTATTGAAAGAATTCATCATTATCTCCTTCTATTGGATCGAAATTTGATTCGTCTGCAATGAACAGTCTTGTGACCCGCAAATTATACATGTTAAGCTTTTCTACATGTTCCATCAAATGCAATCGTCCGTTGTAGTATTAGCATGTTTTGGCAAAGAGTCAAACGTTGCGACAAAAGGGGCGGAATGAACTATATGTCGGTATTAGAATTATATACAAATTTAGTGCAGCGGTCGCTATTGCTCCCCTGCATTTAATTTGTATATAAGTCTAATATATGAACTATAACCTATATATATATTGATAATTTATCTCATACATAAGACCTTATCAGTTGTGTGGGGAAATTGCATAAGTCAATTTCTTATGATCTATATCATTTTCTTTCACTATTTAACAATTGTGAGATTATTTGTATCATAGAGAAACAAATGTTGAAATTAAAGAATTTTAGATTGTTTGCTCTTCAGGCCGTAATTTTCATCTATAGGTGGGTGAAAGTGATGTTTGCACTATTTTATATTACACTTGTGCAATAGTCACACTAAATATATATTACATATGTTATTATAGATTAATAAGCTACAGCTTTAATTTCTGCGCCAGATCTAAGTTATATAATGGACCGTTCATTAATTGTACGTTAGTTTCATTTTCAAATCAACTACAAAATCTCCAACTTCATTATCTTCCTTCTAGCGGCCGTTACTTTTATGATGAGTATTTTTAAGATGTAATTTTGCACCTCTCAGCTATAAATATATAAAATGAGTGTCCGCGGGTTTAATCCCATAACCATACGGAACAGACATTTTCAATGTAAACAAAAACATTCATGATAATGTCAGTGTAAAAAAAAACATTCATAATAATTAAAAAAATATGTTAAGTTTCACCTGTTCCATTCTACCAGCCTGATGCCTTACATGGAGTGTTTTAAACGTGCATATATGTTTTCTTTTGTAAATAAATTACCTTCAATATATTTTTATCATTTTGTATTATTTTGTTTCACCATGATCTAATTCTGTAACAAACAGAGGCTAAAAGATATTACATTTTCAATCAGAGCTTGTCATGTCATGTAATAATACTCGTCTCAGTGGCATTTAATAGCTGTGATATATGGTCCATCATTGTTGATTGCAATTAATACTGAGACAGATTACTATCGATAAAAGATAGGAGAGGCGGGGTATAGCCTGATGGATTATTTCTGAATTTTTAAAACAATTTCAGCATCATTTGCCTTCCATCACATAGGCAAAAAAATAAATACCACTTTACATCGGCAAAACTCGAGTATATTCTATTCATAACGTTAGTTTGGTTCAAGCCATAAAAACGCAACCTTGTGTTTTTTATGTGGACCTTTTACAGTCATTTGTAGCTTTCCGACCAAACTCAAATTTTTGCACCGTTTATATATAGGCTGCGTCCTGTAAGCAATCATACTTATTAATTAATAGCAAATTTACCAAGGAAATTGTGTATGTTGAAACAATGTCAGTTTGTTAAATTTACTGCCGTCTATAATTATTGCATGCATTGTTAGTTAGACATTGCTAACATTTCTTCCGCCTGAGCAGAATTTTTAATGTGAACCAATAAGTAGCGACTTGCCAGTTTTCTAGTGTTGCTCCAATTTTCGAAATGGAAACTATAGTGGCTTTAGCTAATACAATTGTCTGAGATTTCCAATAACAATATTACATAATTAGCTCTAACCATTTTTAAGATGTTATTTAACCATTGTTGAAGAAAATCTAAGTCTCGTCTTCAAAATGGATATAGCTAATGATTGTTAATTACAAACAAAAACAAAACAAAAAAGTGTGCAATACATTTATTTCCAATAATAATCTATCATATAAGTACAAATGAAGAAATAATTTCAATTCTACCGCCTATTAGTATATAACTAGTGATATTCATATAGTTATATTACGAGGATATTGGGACAGAAACAGTAGCCTCTAGGGTGGTAACAATTTTTTTTCCATATCTGGGCTAGTTTCCAACCCAGGATGACCCATATTTTAACTTAGCAATCATTTAGACAACCTTTCTGGCCAATTTCAAGGATATTTGGATAGAAACAGTAGCCACTTATGTTAACGAGATTTCTTTTTCTTAAGCTCAACTGGCATACTTTATCATCTGAGATAACCCATAATGGAACTTGTTTGAGATATCAATTGGACAAATATCCTGACCTAATTTCAAGACAATTGATACAAAAATGTGCCTGCTAGATTGTCAAGGAACTAAATGTGGACAGGCAACAGACTAAAGACATTCGCTAACTCTAAAATATCATCCTGAGCATGTTCAGGTGAGCTAAAAATTAAGGGCATTGAAGCTCTTGAATGGGGACTGTTTTCAAATGTTGCAATGCTCTAACTTAAGTCACATTGACCAAAAATACAATTTCAATACTTTATTTACAATAATCAGTTAACAATAAACATAGTAAAAATAATACAAATAACAAGTACATCAAATGACAAATAATCATTATCTAAAGTTTGCATTGCCATAATGTAGTGGCTCTGTATATTTAATAATGGTTTTTCATTTGTCAATATAATAAGTCAAAGTATAATTTGTGTATTTAAATGACATGATATTCAAAGTTAAAAAAATATATTTATGTATAAAAGTAAGTGTAAATTGTAATTATACACAAAAATTAAGAAAAAAATTGCATAAATATCACAAGATCTGTTGTTGTGAACAGAATATGCCATCAAAGCCAAACTCAAAACTGTAACCCAATCCTTTGACCTACAAACATATTTCTTGCATGTGATTGATTTATGTGTCACCATGTCAGAAGTTGCATGAAAAGTTGCTTATATACAAAAATTGAAAAATGATTTGTTTTTGTTTTGTGTAAAATAAGAGTTTCAGGCTCAATTGTCAAAAGCTGCAGAATAATTTGACAATGTATGTAATATTATACATGTTACCTAATCCTTTAGGCAGTTTCAAAGATAAGGCCCTTAGGTTGTCTAATTGTTCTGACAAACATGTCACCTTGACCTTTGACCCCAAAATTATAGGGTTTATCTACTGGCCCAGACCAACGAACCTGTGAAGTTTCAGAGCAGAAGGCCCGTCTGTTGATTTGTAATTGGTTGAAATCTATTTAAAACATTAGGTAAATTTTAAATTTTGCATTTAACCCAACTTTTGTAAGGGTCTTTAATGGACAAGCCAATTTTATCATCTGAAGGTAAAATGAAAATGGGTTGAAACAGTTTTGAAATGAAACCCAAATTTGCCTGGCCCTTTGAGTTGTGACCCCAAAATCCCCATGGTAATTTTTTAGTCTCTGAACAATGCTTTTATGAAGTTTGAGGGCCTATGGCCCATGGGTTGTAAAGTTATTTGTAGGAAATTGTTCTGGCATTTAAGGTGAATGTGATCTTAACCTTTGACTCCATGACCCTAAAATCACCAGGGGTAATCAACTGCCCAAGAGCAATACATCTGTAAAGTTTGAAGGTCAAGGGCCAATTGGTTTTTGATTTATTGAACAGAAACTGAGCTGACATACAAAATCAATGTGACCTTGACCTCTGACCCCAAAATCGATAGGGATCATCTACTGGCCAAAACCAATGTACCTTTGGAGGTTTTGGGTCAAAAAACCCAAAGGGTTTTTTGACCTTGGGGGGGGGGGGGGAGTTTTTCCAAAAAGTCAATATGACCTTTGACCCAATCAAAATTTATGATCTACTTGCTAAAACCAAGCATGTGAAGTTTGGTGACAAAACCCCGCATTTGATACTAGCGGAAAAAGTTTTTGAATTCAAGGGGAATTTTATCTTTACCTATGACCAAAAACCCAAGGGGTTATCTACTTGAAGAACCAAATTTCCCGGATTAAGGGCCCAAGGGGGCCCCTGGGTTTGAAGTTTTTGGTCGAAACTATTTCTACATGCAAGGTAAATTTGACCTTGACCTTTGAATCCTTAACCCCAAAATCAATAGGGGTCATCTATTGGCCAAGATCAATGCACCCTTGAAGTTTATAGATGAAAAGCCCAATAGTGGTCATCTACTGGTCATGACCAACCCCCTTGCCAAGTTTGAAGGTCTAAGGCTTAGGTACTCTTTAGCTATTTGATCGGAAACCATTTGGTCTACAGACAGACCAACAGACAAATGCAAAGCAATATACCCCCACTTCGTTGAACGGGGGCATAAAATGTCCATAAAGAACAATGATGAAAACAAATAAGACAGACAGATGAACATATAGAGGGACAATTTCAAAACACTATATGTATGTAAGATATATATCATTATAAAAATAAAAGCATTTTTTCATTAATTTGAGATATAAATAATTCATTTCAATTCTAAGATCATAGAAATCTTTTTATTTATATAATTATTTAAGATATAAATACATATATTACATATTTCAAAAATTCCAGTGTTAGTCACAATAATATACAGGTCCAAACGACAACAGTTTTGGGGTAAAATAATTCATTTTGACTTAATTTCATTTTCATTTCATTAATATCCTCATCTCAACTCCTTGAGAAAAAAAAATGAAGTATTTAATATTTGTTTACTCTAAACAAGAGGACCAAATTCCCTTTGATCTCTAATTTGTTTTAAATAATAGATTGCCAAAGGAACATCATTAAAAGGACAGTAATATTTAAAGTAAATAAGATACAATTTTTAAAACAAGAGCTATTAAAGTGGACTACCTCCTAGAATATCCTCAGTATTAGATAGTAAAAACAAACTGATAAATATCATATTTTGAAAAGAGGAACATAAAATAAAACAAGACTGGCTGTTAAAACATAAATCATATATGAGGGATTCATTTCCATTTTGAAATGATATACAAAATACATTGTATAAGGATTCTATCAATATTTTCACAAAGATTTACTTAATCTCTATTTGTACATTGCAATATGTTTAAATGGAGAATCAAAATTTTTTTTCATATGTTTTGTATACATATTAATACAAGAGGGCCATGATGGCCCTTTTATCGCTCACCTGATTACTGAGGCTCTAAATGACAAGAAACAACTAATATTGTTAGCTTTGAGAGAAAAGCAGATATAATGTCATAAGGACATTTAGACTGTAACTATAGTCTCTACAATGTTAACAAGATTTTTCTATTTTTAACTCCTGTGACCTAGTTTTTCATTGGTGGTCACCCTAATCGAACTCATGTGAGATATTATTGAGAAAAATATTCTGACAAAGTTTCATGATGACTGAGAAATAAATGTGACTGCTAGTGTTAACAAGATTTTTCTATTTTTAACTCCTGTGACCTAATTTTTCATCGGAGGTCACCCATGATCAAACTCATCTGAGATATTAATGAGACAGATATTCTGACAAAGTTTCATGATGATTGAGGAATAAATGTGACTGCTAGTGTTAACAAGATTTTTCTATTTTTAACTCCTGTGACCTAGTTTTTCATTGGACGTCATCCATGATCGCACCCATCCCAGATATTAATGAGTCAGATATTCTGACTAAGTTGCATGATGATTGAGGAATAAATGTGACTGCTAGAGTGTTAACAAACTGTGGATGGACGACAATCACTGATCCAGCAATATTTAGTACTATGGTTCAACTTTGCTGTAATTATTTTTGTCCTAGAAAGCAGTCATAACCGACAATGAAAAACAGACACAGTTAAGGTTTGAAATTAGAAATTAACTTTAACAATTTAAAGTAAAAGGAAACCAAAGATGAACACATATACAGGACAGTGGCGGAATGAAAACCTTTTTACACTGGGACAAAATTTGACCAACTTTAGTAGGACCTATATAGTAGGACCAAATATCAAAACTGGGGGCCTTGTACTTTCAGACAAGAATTTTAAATTTGCATTTTTGAAACTCCTTTTCTAGCCCAGTAAGCTGCTTGTGCCCACTGGGCAAGAAAAAAAGCCCCCTCCTCAGCATGTCTGAAGTTGCATGCGATGTTGCTTATATGCAAAAATAAAAATATGATTTGTTTTGTGAGATCTCAGTGTTTCAGGCTCAATTGTCAAATGCTGAGGAAAAATTTAATAATGTATGTTATATCATATTTGTTTTATAAAAGTGCCCATATGCAGTTTCAAAGCTGTGGCCAAGGGGTTGTCCAGTTAATGGTCTGATTTGTGTCATACATGTGACCTTGACCTTTGACACCAAAATCTATAGGGGATTATCTTCTGGCCAAGCCCAATGCACTTGTGAAACTTGAAGGCCAATGGCCCATGGGTTGTAGAGTTATTGGTAGAAAACAGTTCTGACATTTAAGTTTAATATGATCTTGACCTTTGACCCCATGACCCAAAACTCAATAGGGGTCATCTTCTGAACTAGAGCAATGCATCTGTGAAGTTTGAAGGACAAAGGCCAGAGGTTTGTTGATTAAATGAATTCTAAAGCTTTTCCTTTCTGACTGTATTTAAATGATCCAAAGGTGGGGCAAATTTGACCTCATGGTCATGTCTCAATCAGAAATGGTAGCTGAACAGAAAATGTAGTGATCAAGCAAACAATGCTCTAGGCCAAATGTCTAAGCTGTAGATTGGTTGTTGCAGAGGAGGGTTTTCCCAAAAAAATTAATTAACAAGAGGGGCGTAGTGGCCTTGAATAGCTCACCAGGAACGACTGACTTTTGTTAAGTAAATTTGCATTTATGTTTGTCAGAATGATTTTATTTATTTAGATGATGTACCATTTGAGCTTTGTAGCTAAATAAGCACATTGTGTAGACATGGATTATTCTTCGTGAAATTTCCCATCACTACTTGTTCTATTTCTTACAATCTAACATATACAAATACATATGATAATGAAAATGGAAGCCATTTGTAGAGGACATGAACTCTTTAAATCAAAATGAGTTAAGTGTTTAATGTAAACTAGAGCTATCACTAAAGGTGATTCATACCCCCACCAGCAACCTTGACATTTGAAAAATAAGTGGTCTGAAGCAAATTTCAATATTTTGACCTCAACAGTCAAGGTCATTTTAAACTTCAGGTCATACTGAAGTGCTAAATAAATGATAATATGCTATGTTTTGTCTGGTTTTAACACCAATTCCAACCTATTTTTGGTTATTTCTTAACAATCCATCCACCAAATGGCCATGCTTGATTAGAATCCATTATCACCAATTAATCCTGTAGTGACCCATAAATAATTTCATATGATTTCTGAATCAGTGGTGTGAGACAAATGACCATAACATTGAATGTCCAAGATCAATATTCACTGAAAAATTTCACATTACCCGAGCCACACAACTGACGGAGGATGGTCTCTACAGCTTAACCACAAGGTCAGGTGAGATAATAAAATGTTATGATAGTAAAATCCATGTATCACCAGGATTGTTCCAGACAAACTATGTTTCTCCAATGTAAAAAATCATTATACATTTTTCTCTGCCTCCTTAAGTGGCATACCACCTTTCTTGACTACCCAGCGCCCACCATCATTTGGTAAATAGTAAGGATCAACTCTTACTTTTCCTTTCAGTTGTCCTAACTGAACTTCATTTTCATAAATAGTTTCAACCTTCTTATTTCTCAAATGTGTAAGAAAGTCAGCAGTAAATGATCTATTCTTGATGTGAGTAGTGATTCCTGTACCCAGTATTGGATAATTTATTGCAAGCCACAAAGCAAGAATTGTTACATATGATATCTCTCTATTATTTTCAAAAATGAAAAATGGTGGACTCTCCAGCAAAACATCATGGTCAGTATCATAGAGATAAAACAGCACATCTGTTTTTGACATACCTATTGTTGGGATCAAGAAATGTTTCAAATCAGGATTTATCTTTTTCTGCAGAAAGGCAAACACAATAGTTTCTGCAATTATTTGTTGCCTATCTCCAACTAAGGAATCACCATCTTTTATTTCAAAAGAAGATGTACTTGGTTTTCCTTCATGATCTTCAAATATTTCATCATCATGAATTTTCATTCCAACTCGTCTTCCCAAAAGGATATCTAAACTTCCATGCCATACATTTATATTTCCTGTAATGTAAAGAAAATTTCTAAATTACAAACAGGGTTCGAATTTAAGCTTGCATACTTGCTAAATGCGAGTGAAAATTTCAAAATGCGAGCAATAATTTCATAAACTTGCTTTTTTGGCGAGTACAAATAATTGGCAAATATATCAATTATCATATATTTTGAATTTTACCAGGGTGGTGTTTATTTGGAGTCAAGTTTGAAACCAGAAGTTTATATTTGTTGAACCGATACGTGCATGCTTTCCAAGTTATATCGGTTTTTTCCATAAGCTAAAATTAGAATCTATTTAATGCACCCTTTTGATTGGCTGAAGGTACTCGGTAGTACGTCACACACGCAAGAGAGTAAGTCCAATCATGAAAATCGAATGCAAACTAAACAAAGAATTGGCACCACCAAATATGTCTTCTAATGTAATTCTTTTGTAAATATTTGGTTTAATCTTATTTATTTTACATCGATTGTAGGACAAGTTCCTAGAGCTTATAATTAACTGTGCTTGATGACTGTTTCCTGGGTTTCTTACCAGAAATCACGCCAAAAAAAAGGGACTGTGAAGTTTTGTGCCGGTATTCAAAACTAAAATATTTGTGTTAAGAAGACACCACAGTCCTTCCCTTTGTAAATATTGTTTGTCTATGACTGCATTTATTACTCACAATCATAAACCACGGAGGACTAATTTTTTGAAAGAGGCTATAGATCATATTTTCGTGTAATGTTTGAATATTTTATTTAAGTACATGTACACGTCTTTGTCCTATTTTCCTCTGAGAAATGAAATACATTTTAGCATCAGATAAATATTATGAATAAGAAAATAGATGAAATCACTTAATACTTCTCACTGCTTGCTTTGGATTATAGCTTTGCTGTGTGTTTGACTCTTGAAATAAAGAATTTGAAACCGTTGTAAAAAAGCAAGTTGTTTTTTTATTTAGCAAGTAAACCAAAAAACTACTTGCTAAAAATAACAAGTACAAAATCTGGCTAAATTCGAACCCTGACAAAGTAGCATAATCCAAAATAAAATTTTATTTCTGAAACAAGAGTGCGATGATGGCTCATCGCTCACCCGAATATAATACTCTCCATAACAGGGAACAAGTAATATTGTAAACTATAAACGAAAAACTGATATAAAATCTAAATCATAAACTGATATCTCAAAGTTCATAATTGTTTGTGAAGTAGTGCACATGAAGAAACATTACTGGGAAAGACTGCTAAGGAAAAATAACAGTTACATAAGAAGTAAATAGATAATATATATTAAATAAAATAAATGGTTTCCTTTGATTCAAGTCAATGCCTGCTGTGAAATTCAATGGTAGATTCACTTGTTGCCATGGACAGGTTTTTCAATATTTGGGCTATGTGACCCAAGGTGACAAATATTCAAACTTGACCTAGAAATCATCAAAAAACCTTTGATTAAACTTAATTTTGTTATAAAATCTTGCCATAAATGGGTACATTGAAGTGTTCAGTTATGGAAACAAACAGGGCCATGATGACCCTAGATCGCTCCCCTGACCTATCAACCACATCCAAGCAATGTCTTAGACGAGCATCCTGGCCAAGTTTGATGACAAATGAGTCAAAAATGTGACCTCTAGTGTGTTAAAAAGGTTTTTCCATATTTGCGCAGTGTGACCTAGCTTTTGACCTCAAGTGACCCATATTCAAACTTGACCTAGGAATAATATAAACAAATTTGCAGACCAATTTTCAGGATATTTGGATAACAACAGTAGCCAGTAGAGTTCACAGATTTTCTATTTTTAGCTCCTGTGACCTAGTTTTTCATCAGAGATACCCATATTAGAACTCCTATAAGCAATTAACTAGACAAGCATCCTGACTAAGTTTTATGAGAATTGAGTCAAAATGTTACCATAAGAGTATTAACAATGTTTTTTCTATATTTGGGCAGTGTGACCTAGTTTTTGACCTTAAGTGATCCATAATCAAAATTGACCTAGAAATCATCAAAATGACCTTCCAGATCAATTTCCAGGATATTTGGATCAAAACTGCAGCCACTAAAGTGTTAACAAGATATTTTTACTTTAAGCTCCTGTGACCTAGTTTTTTTATCGGAAATGACCCAGGTTTTTCAATATTTGGGCTATGTGACCCAAGGTGACAAATATTCAAACTTGACCTAAAAATCATCAAAACAACCTTCCTGAGAAATTTCAAGGATTTTTGTATCAAAACTGCAGCCAATAGAGTGTTAACAAGACTTTTCTATTTTTAGCCCCTTTGACCTAGTTTTTGACCGGAGAAGACCTCTATTCGAACTTGACCTAAAAGTCATCAAAACAACTTTCCTGACCAATAATCAACCCATTTCGATCAAAACTGCAGCCAATAGTGTTAACAATCTTTTTCTATTTTTAGCTCCTGTGACCTAGTTTTTACCCAGAGATGACCCATATTCATACTTCGCCTAGAAATCATCAAAACGACCTTCCTGACCAATATTCAGGATATTTGGATCAAAACTGCAGCTACTTAAGTGTTAACAAGATTTTTTTCTATTTTTAGCTCCTGTGACCTAGTTTTTGACCGGAGATGACCTGACTTCAAACTTGACCTAGAAATCATCAAAACAACCTTCCTGACAAATTTCTAAAATATTTGGATCAAAACTGCAGCCACAAGAGTGTAAACAAGGTTCTTTAATTTTTTGCTCCTGTGACCTAATTTTTTACCAGAGATGACCCATTTTCAGACTTAACCTAGATATCATCAAAACATCCTCCCTCACTGATTTCCAGGAAATTTGGATCAAAACTGCAGCAACTAGAGTGTTGTTAAGATTTTTCTGTTTTTAGCTCCTGTGACCTAGTTTTTGACCCGAGATGACCCATATTGGAACTTCTCATAGAAATCATCAAAACAACCTTCCTGACAAATTTCCAGGACATTTGGATCAAAACTGCAGCCACTAGAGTGTAAACAAGCTTTTTTTAATTTTAAGTCCTGTGACTTAATTTTTGACTGGAGATGACCCATCTTCGAATTTGACCTAGAAATCATCAAAACAACCTTCCTGACAAATTTCCAGAATATTTTGATCAAAACTGCAGCTACTAGAGTGTTGACAAGCTTTTCTATTTTTTGCTCCTGTCACCTAACTTCTGACCTTAGTAACCCATCTTTGAACTTGACCTAGAAATCATAAAAACAACTTTCCAGAAAAATTTCCAGAATATTTGGATCAAAACAGCAGCCACTAGAGTGTTTACAAGATTTTTCTATTTTAAGCTCCTGTGACCTTGTATTTAACCGGAGATGACCCATCTTTAAACTTGGCCTAGAAATCATCAAAACAACCTTCCTGACAAATTTCCAGAATATTTGGATCAAACCTGCAGCCACTAGAGTGTTAACAAGCTTTATCTTTTTTTGGCTCCTGTGACCTAGTTTTTGACCCGAAATGACCCATCTTCGAACTTGACCTGTATTTCATTGAGACAACATTCTGACAAAGTTTGATGATGATCCAATGAAAACTGTGACTGCTAGAGTGTGAACAACCAAATTGTTGACGATGAACAATGCACACTGCCGGACGCCGGACATAGCTTCATCACTATACCTCACCTTGACCACTTCATGGTCAGGTGAGGTAAAAAGAGAAATAATGACCTACTAGTTATAACCAATCAATATGTGAAATATAAAGACCTTGACCTTTGAACTCATTACCACATTATGACTAATCAATATGGGAAATACGAAGACTGTAATAAAAAGTTTTCAAGGTAATAAATGGAAACAGTATTAACATTTAAGGTCCCTGTGACCTTGACCTTTAGTGATTCCAAAATCGATAGGGATCATCTACTACATATGGCCATTCAATATGTTTGTGATGAATAGTTTTCAAGATAATGACCAGTAACCATTGACATTTAAGGCCCCTGTGACCTTGACATTTGACATAGTGATCCCAATATCAATAGGGGACATCAAGAAGTTATGACCAATCAATATGTGAAATATGAAGACTTTGTGATATACAGTTTTCAAGATAATGAGCGAAAATCATTCTGAAATTTAAGGCACCTGTGACTTTGACCTTTACCCTAGTTACCCCAAAATCAATAGGGGTCATCTAATAGTTATGACCAATCAATATTTGTAAAATGAAGACTTTGTGATAAACAGTTTTCAAGATAAAGAGCAGAAACCATACTAACATTAAATGCCCCTTTGACCTTAGCCTTTACCTAGTGACCTAAAAATCAATAGTGGTCACCTTCTAGTTATGACCAACCAGTATCTAAAATATGAAGACTTTGTGATAAATATTTTTCATGGCAAAAAGTGAAAACCATTCTGACTTTTAAGGCCCCTGTGACCTTGACCTTTGAACTAATGATCCCAAAATCAACAGGAGATATCTTCTAGTAAAGGCACCTGTGAACTAGTGACCAAAAAATCAATAGGGGACATCTACATGTTATGAACAATCATTATGTGATATATGAAGACTTTGTGATATAATGAGGGGTAACCATACTGCTATTTAAGGCCCCTTTGACCTTGACCTTTGACCTAGAGACCCCATAATCAATAGGGATCAACTACTAGTTATTACCAATCAGTATGTGAAATATGAAGACTATGTAATAAAAAGTTTTCAAGATAATGAGCAGAAACCATTCTAACTTTTAAGGCCCCTGTGGCCTCGACCTTCGATCTAGTGACCTCAAAATTAAAAGTGGGTCATCTTCTCATTATTACCAATCATTATGTGAAATATTTAGACTTTATGATTATTAGTTTCCAAGATAATGAACGGCAACCATTCTGACATGTAAGAATGCTGTGATGTTGACCTTTGACCTAGTGACCCTGAAATCAATAGGAGTCATTTACTAGTTATGACCAACCAGTATGTGAAATATGAAGACTTTGTGATAAATAGTTTTCAACATAATAAGAAGCCGCCAATGTGACCTTGACTTCGACCTAGTGACCCTTAAATTATTAGGGGTCATCTACTAATTATGACCAATCAGTATGTGAAATATCAAGACTTTATGATAATTAGTTTCCAAGATAATGAGCGGAAACCATTCTGACATTTAAGAATGCTGTGACATTGACTTTTGACACTAACATCAATAGGGGTCATCTAATAGTCATGACCAATCAGTATGTGAAATGTTAAGACTTTGTGAAAAATAGTTTTCAAGATAATGAGCAGAAACCATTCTGACATTTATGGATCCTGTGACCTTGACCTTTGACTTAGTGACCCTAAAATCTATAGGGACCATCTCCAATCACTATGTGAAATATGAAGACTTAGTGATGTATAGTTTTTCAAGATATGAGATGAAACCATTAAGCTTTATGATAATTAGTTTCCAAGATAATGGACATTTAAGGATCCTGTGACCTTGACCTTTGTCCTAGTGACCCCAAAATCAAAAGGGACCATCTAGTAGTTTAATATGACAAATCACTATGTGAAATATGAAGACATAGTGATGAATAGTTTTCAAGATAATCAGCGAAAAACCATTCTGACATTTAAGGCCCCTGTGACATTGACCTTTGACCCAGTGACCACAATTTAAATAGGGGTCATCTACTAATTGTGACTACACAGTATGTGAAATATGAAGACTTTGTGAAAAATAGTTTTTAAGCTGATCAGTGAAAACCATGTGGTCTACTGACGGCCAAACCGACTGACCTTAGTAAAACAATATACCCCCTCTTCTTCAAAGGGGGGGGGGGGGAGGGTAGTTGGGGGTGGCAGCGGCATAAAAATATTTTACTGCATCAAAACTTTAATCTTAAGGTATGACCACCCCAATGGGCACTATAAGGAACTGGAAAATTACAGCATAGGTCAGATATAAACCTTAAAAGACATGCATATGCAAAATTTAAGCAAATTTCATCGTACGGAAATCAAGTTATGTTCATTTTCCTGAACTTAAACTAAGATGTCAGAAGGGCACTTTTTCAGAACAAGGCACCTTTGAATAATATACAACATCATCTGTCTGAAAAATGTTTAAACATTAAATTTTTGGTAAGAAACAAATACTTACATTCAGCTAACAATCCACATAACAAAAATGATTGTTTATACTCAAACTTTATGAAATATGTATAAAATTGTTACCCAACCCACCCTCTGACCATTTCCCTACTTAGAGAGCCTAATTTTAAAAATCCTTAAAATTTACCAAATTAGTGTCTGTATTCAAAGATTCCCTAAATTTTTTCAAAAGTATATGGAACTAGAAGGGTTTATGTCACAAAAACATATGTCTCCCAAAACTATGTATGGTCACTGACATGTGAAGTTTCACTGAGATCCCACCAGTAGCTTGACCTGTGAGAGCCAGACAAGATTTTTCTATTTTTATAACGAATGACATTCAACACTCCTTACAGCTCATCCTGAGCCAGCTCAGATGATCTAACAAGAGCCACCGCTGGGCGGGGGCAACGCTCGACTTTTTACTTTTTCTAAAAGCAAAGAAAGAAATATTTGAACAAATCTTAACGTTTCCTTTTCATAAATTTTATCGGTCTGTCTTGTCACATGAGTTTTGTCTACATATTTTGTATATATAAATAGAAACACTGAATGCATTCTAAAAATAGAAACGCCGAATGCATTCTAAAAATTGAAACGCGGAATGCATTCTATAAATAGAAACACCCAATGCATTCTATAAATAGATACATGCAATGCATTCTATAAATAGAAACACGCAATGCATTCTATAAATAGATTCACGCAATGCATTCTATAAATAGATACACGCAATGCATTCTATAAATAGATACACTCAATGCATTCTATAAATAGATACACGGAATGCATTCTATAAATAAAAACACGCAATGCATTCTATAAATAGAAACACGCAATGCATTCTATAAATAGAATCACGCAATGAAATAGATACACGCAATGCATTCTATAAATAGAAACACGCAATGCATTCTGTAAATAGATACACGCAATGCATTCTATAAATAGAAACACGCAATGCATTCTATAAATAGAAACACGCAATGCATTCTATAAATAGAAACAGTGTTGTTGTTGTTGTTGATGATGATGATGATGATATATATACATACACACCAATAAATATATATGGTCATCAAATGCATAAATCTGAGAAAATTCAGTAATTTAACCTTCAAGGTCAAGGTCATCAAAGAGCCCAAGTCAATTTGGGTTTGATAAACAACAAGGTCTTGTCCTTAAGAATGTTCTATTATAATATGAAGTTGATCCCTTCAATAATAGCAAAGTTACAGCCAGTTACAACCAAAACAATGAAAATTTCAATAATTTGACCTTCAAAGTCAAGGTCATTTATGAGTGAAGGTCAAAGTATGTGTGGTTATTTTTAAGGGTTATCCTTGAAGATTATTATGTTCAAGTTTGAAGACAATCCATTCAAAAATAACAAAGTTACAGCCGATAATAGCCAAAAAAATTAAAATTTCAATAATTTGACCTTCAAAGTCAAGGTCATTTATGAGTGAAGGTCAAGGTATGTGTGGTTATTTTTAAGGGATATCCTTGAAGATTATTATGTTCAAGTTTGAAGACAATCCATTCAAAAATAACAAAGTTACAGCCAATAATAGCAAGAACAAGCAAACTTTGGACTTTTAACCTTGAAGGTCAAGGTCATTTATGGATGAAGGTCAAGGTTAGTGTGGTCTACTGAAAGGTCTTGTCCCAAGGGTTGTTGTGGCCAAGTATGAAGACAATACATCAAGAAATAAAAAAGTTATGATCCAGGTACAAGTTTGCGGACGGCAACGGCAAAGGCAACGGCAACGGCAACGCGACTATAACAATACCTCTACTTTTTTTTCAAAAAAAAAAAAGTCGAGCTAAAAACAATAGAAAATCATTCATTTCAATAAATTTTAATGGAATTTACCTAAACTAGTGTCTCCATAAACTCCAGATATAGGTTCTTTACAACAATGACATATATCACATTTATTTTTAGATGTGTCATCAATCACATACGGCTGATACACTGCCAACGGTGAAAGAATATGATGGGCCAGCCGTACAGTCCAAGATGTTTCATTCTTGCAAGTCTTAAACTCAGGCTTTTTGTATGACATTTTTTCTCCCAAATCTGAAACAAAAATGTAATTGAACTGTAACACCAGTGTTACAAGCAGTTTGAGTTTCTGCTGTCTTATGAAACAAATCACAAGAACATGAAGAAGTCTTTTAGTAATCTCAGTTAATACCACTTGAAATGGTACAATCCAATACTTTTAAAAGGGATGCCAATACACGAAATGTTATGGGAAGTCTTTCAAAGTGTAATGTCAAAAAAGAGTGAACTAGAAATGTTTTGTCAAGCATCTGATGCCCCCACATGCAGCCAAATTTCAAACTTGACCTGCGCATTCCTTTGACGTTAGAGGGACTTAACTCTGCCAAAAATCATCGAACCATGACCAAATTCAGACTTGACCTGCGCATTCCTTTGACGTATCCATATATTAAATTTGAGTTGACTGTGTAATACCGTTGGATAGATAATGAAGGGAAAATGAAAATTTCATCAAGGGGCATAACTGTCAAAAATCATTGGACCCTGACCAAATTCAAACTTAACCTGTATTTACTTATGATATATCCATATGTCAAATTTGAGTTGAATGTGTGCAACTGTTACTAAGATAATGAACGGAAACTGATGATGACGGAATGACGGAACAGACTGGGTAACACTATATGCCCCAGCCATTTTAAGGCGGGGGCAGAAAAATGTATATAATAAAAAGAAATTTAATTTTTTCTTGAATACAGGATTTATTTTCATCTTGTGGTATAAAAATTATCATATCTCACTTATGGCGACTGAAATGGAAATGAATCGCCGCTAATCTGTTGATATTGTTGTTTATTGATACATGTATTTGATCGGCAATTATCAACACTCCAGATATGTCACACGTTGACTTCCAACATCAGCTCAATTGTATCGCCGCGTTTCATTGGTTTTCCAATTATACCGACCAATGAAAATAAGTTAAACTGACCATTTTGATATAGGCGGAGCGTGGTAGATTACTAGATTTTGACATTTGGAAAATTATTGCACATGTTTATCCTAATAACGGCGACATTGATTTCGCTTTTCTAAGCAAACAGAGTGCATAGAAATGTGAAATGTGTTTATTTCTAATAGTTCTACTGCTAAAAATTTACAGGACAGTAGGTCTAGAGAACTTTCAAAATTGGTTGGACCTTTCAAAAAATTTCCGGACATGACCCACCATCCAACAATGTTTCGCTTGGACTGTCTTAGATGAGGAAGTTCTGTCTTAAGGCAGGATATTTAGGAGAGATGTTTTGGTGTTTGATGAGGAGGGAGACGGCAATTAAGCTAACTGCTATCAAGGCTACAGGCAGTATATCATGTGGCAGCATAGGAGCCTTGGTGAAGATGTGAGACGTGTTGTGCTGTCCTGTGCCTTTTGGGTCATCTGGGACAAATACACTGACCCATTTGGGCAATACACTGGTTTCATGCCTTCTCGATTTGCAAGATTGAAAAATAATATACAAAGAAAAAAGAATAAACAGTCTTCATTACATTTTGGTTTTTATTGACAGCATCAAAAGTAATGAAATAATTTAAAACAAATAACTGAAGATAAAACAATCACTACAAATGATGCATATCCCCACATATCACTAAAGGCAAATTATGCTTCAGAAACAAAAATTTACTTCTAGAAGAATTGAAAGATGCTTAACAAGAGCTGTCACAGGAGACAGCGAAGCTCGACTAATAAAGTACTGGACTCAGTAAGGAAGACAAAACTATGAAAGAAAAATCAATTATGTATAATTATGTATTAAGTTAAAGTAAAAAAATAACATTGTTAACATAAATTCCAGATCAAGGGGAATAATTCGCTAGACTTATGAACCTTGTCACAGAACATGTGTGTAATGATAAGAAATATATATATTTGAAGTTTGAAGTAGATACCTTAACAAGAGCTGTCCGTAAGACAGCGCGCTCGACTTTTTTATTGCTTGCCAATAAAAAAAGTTTTTGCAGTAAAAGGCAATACAAGAATCTCTGTATTTTTAAAGTGAACAATGGCCATGAGCATTAAGATATTTAGTGAAGAATTATTTTATTATGACATAATTTATGGTAAAGTGAACAAGTGGATAGGAATGAATTTTTTTAGATTTTTTAAGTTTTTTAGTGCTTGCCTATAATACAAAACATTGACAGTTAAGGGCCATAATTCAAATAAAATCTTTGACAGAATTACCTTCTCCTGGACATGTTTGGGAATCATGATTGTAAACAAGTATTCCAACTTTCAAATTAATATCTCAAACAGTTCAGTCAAAAAGTGGACTGGTACTAAAAACTTAACCAAGATTCTAAGTCGATAAAAGGCCTTAATTTTTAAAACAAATCCTTGACAGAGTTACCTTCTCTTGCGTACAGATGGGGGTAATGATGTGAAATAGCATTAAAAGTTTCAAAGCAATATCTCAAAGGGTTAAGGCAATAAGTGGATTTTACCCATATTCAATGTATTTTCTAAGTCAAAAAGGGGCATAATTCTGTCAAAAAACCTTGACAGAGTTATGTTCCTCTCTTGTCTGTTGATGAAGGTCGTGATGGTAAACAAGTATGGTCAGTTTCAAAGCAATACCTCCAATGGTTTTGAAATAAAGTGAGGTGGTACAAAAAACTTAACCAAGCTCAATACACTTTCTAAGTCAAAAAAGGGCCATAATTCTGTCAAAAACCTTGACAGAGTTATGTACTCTTGTCTGTAGATGGAGGTTATGATGGTGAACAAGTATGGTAAGTTTCAAAGCCATACTTGTAATACTTCTGAAATAAAGTGGGGTGGTACGAAAAACTTAACCAAGGTGTGACGCCGACGCCGACGCCGGGGCGAGTAGGATAGCTCCCCTTTTCATAGAAAAGTCGAGCTAAAAAGTAAAGAAGTTATAATATTTCTTAAAGAAAATCCTCAAGTTCAAAGAGAGATAAATCTGTAAATATTACTTCAAGAGTTATGAACCTTGTCACATAAAATGTAATTGATGATAAGGAATAAGTATATGAAGTTTGAGGTAGACACCTTTAAAACTAAAAAAGTTATAGTAAAAGATAACAATTTTCAAGTAAAAAAATCTAAGTTTAAGGGGAGATAATTCTTGCAATATTGGTGCTACAGTTATGAACCTTGTCACATAGCATGTGGTTAATTATAAGGTGCATATACAGTCGAGACTGCCTTAGCGACCCCCTGATTTCAACGACTCCCTGTCTTATCCGACCTTGTTTCAGTCCTCCCAACATATTTTCCTATATAAATGGTCTGAATTATACGACTCCCTGTCATATGTGACAAGCGACCCTAATTGTCTGGTCCCAATGCATTGCTTTGTCTGATTTAAACGACTTTCACACCTTTTAATTGAATGTCCATTAATTAGGTAAATAATACCTGTTTTAACACCCAAAGAGACAAAATAATTAAGTCCAATTACAATCCAGTAGTCAGTACCCTTAAAAAAAAACTCTACACATCTCTTTCTCAATTACACGGATTACATGTATACAGGTATCAAGTGACGTAGCGTCTTGAGTATTACTGCCAAATATGGTAAGCATGATGCAATCGATGTGTGTTAACAAATTGAGGTCACAGGTGTAATGAACATAATGAACTGAGTAAACTGGGAAAAAAAGGATGGAGTGCTAACGGAAGATTTTTTTAGGCAGCATCTTTTTTTATTATTTACCTTTCTATGGGTGCATGAATAATACAGAAAAAAGTTGATACCAGACTAGTTAATCCTTTGGATATGGATATGTTATTAAAAGTATGATATTTAATTTAAGAATTTGAATGCATCAAATTCAAGTTTATTTTGTACCATTATGATTCAATATAAATCTAATACAAAAAATAAAATAAAATTTTATATTATATACATGCGATTAGAATTTATATTTGCTTTACAGGGATCTTTTTTTATTTACATCAAATATTTTAAGTACCGATGTGTATTTGCAATTTTCTATGAGACTGTATTAAGAGACTCCCTGTCATATGTGACCTTTTTCTGAAGATCCCTTGGAAAGTCACATATGACAGTCTCGACTGTATTTGAAGTATGAAGTTGGTCCTTTAAGAAATAAATAAGTAACTGTAAGAAATAATTTCTTTAAGGAAAATTCTAAGTTCAAGGGGAGATAAATCTGAAAATATTTGTGCTAGATTTATGAACCTAATGATATGGTTGATGATAAGGTACATATATTTGAAGTATGAAGTTGATCCCTTAAGAAATAAAGATGTAACAGTAAAAAATAGTGTTTTTTAAGGAAAATTCTAAGTTCAAGGGGAAATAAATCTGAAAATATTGGTGCTAAAGTTATGGACCTTGTCACATAAGATGTGGTTGATGATAAGGAACATATATTTGAAGTATGAAGTTTATCCCTTAAGCAATAAATAAGTAACAGATAAAAAATAGTATTTTTTAACGAAAATTCTAAGTTCAAGGGGAGATAAATCTAATACTATTGGTGCTAGAGTTAAGAACCTTGTCACATAAGATGTGGTTGATGATATGGAACATATATTTGAAGTTTGAAGTTGATACCTTAAGAAATGACAAAGTTATAGGAAAAAATATTTTACTGCATCAAAACTTTAATCTGAAATCTGGACATGGACGTGGACGCCAACGCCGGGGCGAGTAGGACAGCTCTCCATATACTTTGTATAGTCAAGCTAAAAAGTAGTAATGAAAGTGAAATAATTTGTTACAAGAAGGCCATGATGGCCCTGAGTCGCTCACCAGAAACAACTGCTTTTCAGTGTTGGAATGTCAATATATTCTAATATTAAATTTGAGCATAGAATATCTTTAAACAATTATTTGAAGAAATGCCATGACCTGGGGCATTTAAGCTTTAGCTTAAACGGGGCTAATCAAATTAATATGAGCAAACTTGATAAAAGACTACCTAAGAATGCTACAAAGTTTGATGATCATCTATCAATTATTTCAGTAGGAATTGATGTTTAAAGGTTTTTTCTTTTTTTAGCTTTAGTGGCCCCT